AACTATGATAGTGAACCTAAGGAAGCCTTCAGGATATGGAATCAAGATTCTTCAAAGCAGGATTGGCTACATGCAGATAAGTATGAAATTACCCATCCGTCCAATACAACTTCTCTTCTGGACATGGCTTCTAAAGTTCCGTTAGTTATTCTTAAACAATATCTGAGGAAGGTGAGGGTAGTGGAGACAGAGGATTTTACAATTTATAGTCCATCAGTATCGATTGAAGATCTGGAAGTGGATCCGGTAGAATGGGCTTGGAAGCTCAAGAATAGAGGTACAGGTGTAGAAAGAAGAATTAACATCTTACATTATACGACTAGTTCTGGGTATAGATTGAGAAGACGGGCTCATACGCTCATGCCTTTATTGACAAAGAGATGGGAAAAGAGAGTAGACATTCCACGTAATCAGTTAACCAAAATACCTTGGTCAAGTATTACAGCTATACGGTTGGGGTCGGTTGGGGTCGGTTAGAAGTATGCAGTGGTTGATAGCTCACGTGGCACTTCCGGTCAATGCTTGGTTGGATGAGCGTAGAAGTTTGGGTCAGAGGAGCGCGGACAGTGCTGCATGCCTGGTATGTAGATCGGGGGATCCGGAAACAATGCTGCATTGCCTCATAGAATGTGAGGAAGCAGGTAAGTTTTGGGGGGAAGTGAGGAACATATGGGGACAGATTACAAGGTCTTCTTTTMCTGAGTCTAAAATCTCCCTTATGTTGGGACTCAACATCCCGAATCTATGGCAGAACTTTGAGAAGCATCTTTTTAAATTAGTGTGACAGTATAGTCTCTGGACTATCTGGAAACGCAGGTGCCAAGTTACTTTTGAAGATAGGCCAATGCACATACAGGAAGCAAGGGAGATATTTCTCACGTTGGTTGAAACTAAGGAAACAAGTAGGACTCCATCCGGGACAAGTGGAAGAGATAATGAAACGGTTTAATCAGAATATCTTGGGGCAAGGAGCAGTTGCAATCATAAAGAATAATAATTTATCCTTCAGACAGTTAGGATGAGGTTAGGGTTTAAGGGAACCACATAGACATAGAGGATGGGTTGGTGAGGATAGAGTTTAGGGTAAATGGAAGTTTCAAAAGAGTTAAGGATTGTTTATAGGACACATTCTAGAGTGTGGCGGGAAGATCTAGGGTTTAGGGTTTAGCAATGGACATTTCACAAGGTTCATTCTAGACAGTTTGGATGAGGTTAGGGTTTAAGGGAACCACATAGTCATAGAGGATTGGTGGGTGAGGATAGGGTTTAGGGTAAATGGAAGATTTAAAAGAGTTAAGGATTGTCTATAGGACACATTCTAGAGTGTGGCATTAAGATCTAGGGTTTAGGGTTTAGCAATGGACATTTCACAAGGTCCATAAGTATCGGGTAGACTCACAACGGAGCAGACTTACAGCCGAGAGGATCAGATAATTTGGCAGGCAGAGTTAGTACACAAGGAACACAAATGGCCCACGATGCTCTTGCATAACACAATTATCCGACAGCTTAGCAGCTGCAGCTGAGAGGAGCAGGTCTGGGCTTAGACAGATGGGCAGCCAGAATTAGTACAGGCTAGCGTAGGCAGGGGTGAGAGGGGGTACAT